GTAATTAGTAGCAGATCAAGAAGATATCAGGGGGAAAGAAGTTAAACTTGAACCTATCTTGGATCAGAAACAAATGTGTAATCTAAATAAGAAAACCCAACCAAACCGTATTAAGGTTCTGCAAGACAATATAGATAGACATCTTCCACTATCTCACAGTAGAGTAGGACATCTTAAACAGAACCCAAAAGCTTTTAACCACAAAGAAACATTATAATTACAATTTTCTGATCCCCAAAGGATCCAAAAGAATGAAAAGGCAAACAAGTTGAAGGCATTGTCTACACTGAGACTGACAAGGGTCTCTTACCTAGAATATTTTAAACCATAATTCTGTAAGATAAATACAACCATCAAAAAGAAACAGGTGACTTCAGCAGGCTGTGGTTAAAACAGGATGATGAGAAAGATAGTAAACTTATAAAAATACATATTCAATCTCACTAGTGATCAGGGATACACAAATGAAAACTGCAATGGGGAACCACTGCACTCCCTCCAGAATGGCTAGAAATACACCAAGCACAGCACATGTTGGGGAGAATATGGAGCAATGGAAGCCCTCATACACTGATGATGGCAATGTCAATTGGTTAGACCACGTAGGAAAAGACTGCATGGTCTGTGAAAGCAACTCATACACCTATTCTATGAGCTAGCTCTCTTCTGTGTATTGTCCATCTCAAGTGTTTGATCATATACATCAGAAGACATGCAGAAGAATGATCACAGAAGCATTATATGTAATATCTAAAAAGTACAACAAGCCAAATGCCATCAACAGTCAAATGGATAATATATTGTGATACATAAAACAGCACAGCATAAATGTACTATGTGTACATTGTGAAAGACTCTCATTATCATCATGAAGAACAGTAGAAGACACCAAGTGTGATAGTTGACTGATTGTGTCAATTTGAGTAAATAGCGCCCAACTGCATTGGCTCAGAATAACTGGATGTAGAAGACTCACCCTAGGGAGAAGTGTCCCCAGAATGCTATAAAAGGGAAACAAAGAAGGAAGGACTGCTCTGTCATCTTGGAGGAGGTCCAGTCTTCGCTTTTACCTTGGACGTCATCTCCTGGCACAGACTCTTCAACCTTCTAATGTGGATCCTTTGGCTTCTTGACCCAAGCTAGCACAGAACATCACAGACAGCCCCAAGCTTTCGACTGGGTCCTTTGGATCCTCAGTGTGCAGATGGACCTTTTGCCTTCTTCCACAACCACCTGACTTTGTGGGAGGGCATCATAAACCAATCTGTAAATTCTTACACATTTATTTATCTAGTAAATAATGATTTATTCCACTTAAATTGAGTTTGGAAAACAGATAAAACTAGCTTCTAATATTTAGGAATACATATAGAAGTGACAAAATATGAAACATAAACATGTATCATAAAAGTCAGACCAATGGTTACCTGGAAGGAGGACTAAGAAGATCCTTCTGAGGTGGAGGAATGTTCTATTTTTTAATCTACAGAATGAGTCCATAGATAGTTGCTTTGTAATAATTAATTGAGCCACATGATTTCTGTTTTATAATTTCTTGGTTTATTTTATAATAAAAATGTTAATATAAAGTCACTGCTTTAAAAGTAAATACTAAGCCCTAGTGACTGATTATGTACAGTGTACCAAATATTGTGCTAAGACTTTCACATCAATTAACTTAGTCATCAAACAACCCTGGGAGGTACATGTAATTATTACCCTTATTTCAGCAAAAAAAAAAAAAAATTAGGCCAGTAGTTCTCCACTTTGGCTGCGCATTCCACCCCTTGGGACATTTGTCCTAATTGTCTGTGCCCGTTAAATCAGAACCCTGGAGGCAGGACCCATCACTATTTTTCTAAAATTACCCTTATACAGGATTTCAAAAGTGAAGCTAAGTTTGAGACCCATGAGACAAAGTCATAGGAAGATTCTGCAATTTGTCCTCAACTAGACTCTACATAGAGTTAAAGCCCAGACAGTTTGATGCCAGGGTTCATGAGCTTCACTATTCCTCTACAATGCCTTTTAGATAAATGAGACCTCTTTCCTCAGGAAACTACAGAGATTTAAGAGAAAGCTGTACAGGGAAGACCCTTCTCAGAGTGACACAGGTACAAAGTGAGTGTCAGGATTGGGACCCTGTGGTCAGTGAGGCTAAATGATGGACAGAACCAGGGATATGGGGTGGGTGTACCATGCTAAGTATGCAGGCATCCTTCCCCTGGCACATGACATGGCTTCAGTGTGTCTTAGATAGAGGACTCCAACCGTGGCGCAGAGGATGAAGTGTGAAGAGAGACAAGGTCTGACAGGAGGCACGAGTCACCTCTGCTGCAGAAAGGATGAAGAGGAGCTGCATGAAGCAGGCCAGTATGGTAGGGATTATGCGGAGCATGTATCTGCAGAAAGGGAGGACTGGCGTGATGTAACGAGAGGGAGAATGAAGGATGGAAGGAATCCAGGAAGGCACCTGGAATCCAGGAATCCAGGATACTAGGTATAGATGATATCATTCACTGGGATCAAAGAAGAGGAAGAGAGGACTTGGAGGGTGAGTTACTGAGACCCACTTGGATAAGTTGGACGTAACTGGGAAATTCAAGAGGCAACTGGAAATAAAATCTAAATTTCTGGAAAATGGTAATGGTTTAGAAAGACAGGGTTAGAAATCATCAAGATGTCGTGGTAGACAAAATTGCAAACCTTGGCTAACACTGTCCTTCTAAGTGCCTATTTCCATCTTCATTTTCTAAAAATGCTATTTTTCCTATACCTTGATTACATCCCACCTTTGAAATAAGCAAAGAAGAAAATCCAAATGACCCAGTTCACACCTTACAAACTAGTTAATTCTCAGATAAGCCAGTTAATCTCTTTGAATCTGTGTCCTTGGCAGCAAAACTGAGCTAATTATCCAGAATTCGTCCAAGGCTGCTGGAGGAGTTAAGAGTACTTAAGGTTATGACTTAATATGTTTGACACTTTATAGCAAGAGAGACCAAAGCATATGGTTCAAAAACTGCCTCTTATCACATACATGGGAGTAAAATTTAGGAATAAAACTGTTAGTCCTGTGTTCCTTCTGCAGATAACATATTTGCTATCCTTCCCTCCCCAAACCCCAGAAAAAAAAGTGTAAGGAATATGTCTAAAGATTGATCATGATCATCATTATTCGCACTCAGTGAATGAGTACTACGTACTTGCACACTTTTCTAAGTGGCTCAGATGAATTAACTCCTTGATTCTCACTGAAGCCCTGTGAGATGTGTGCAAGTGTGAGTCACCTGTTAAAGAGAAATAAAGTGAAGGCACTGACACATTAGTTAACTTTCTCAGTGTTTGTAGGTAACACAACTCAAACCCAGGGAGTATGACATAAAGGCCCAGTTCTCTTAGTCACATCACAAATCCTGGAACTACAGGTAACAGACACAGGAAAGGACTTTGTCAGGCAAGCCCTTCATCTTCTCCCAAATGGCTACAAAAACTTAACTGATATCTGTGTGGTTTCTGCAGCTATGGAAGTATCGATGCCCTTCTAAGACACTAAAGAACCACCATGTGGATGGGACCTTGTGGAATTTAGTCTTCCTATCTACAAAGGTTAGACTTGGCACCGATGATAGGTAAGCCCCAAAACAAAGTTCTGTAGGGCCCATGGAACATCCTGTTTAGACTGCACTGCCATCCACGGGTACAAGGTAGCAAGAGATGAGGCCTAGGACTTAGAAGCCATGCCTGTACTCTAGTCTTCCCCTCCATAGTTCCCAATAAATGAGGTTATAGAGAGCAGCCTAACTCAAAGTCTTACTCTCCTTATGTGTAGGATAAGGCGGCTGGACTTGAGGAGAGGCGGGGGACAGGATCATCTTGATGATGCTAATTTGCTGCCTGAGACTCTTCTGTGAGAAAAATTTTACACCTAAGCTCAGGCTTACTGGAAGGACTGATTAGTCGCATCTGCCACGAAGGAGACACATGTGCTGCTGCATTTCTGATTGCCGTTAGCCAGACCATCATTAAGATTCCGCCCAGGGTCAACCCATTTTCTGGTCCCCCTTCTGTCTCTCTTAGAAGCTTTCTTTCTCTCAGTAAATTTTCCTACTGTTAACTGTTACACAAAATGGCCGCAGGGAGGTCTGTTACTCAAAATGGCACCCGCTTCTCCTAAATGGGTCCTTTACTCTCTGGGAAAGTGGAACTGAGCTCGCCATTCCACCCCACTACTCATCTGCCAATAAGTTTAAACTCTGTCACCTGCCCCAGCAATACAACTGATCCTCAGCCCCCTCAGTGCTCTCTAGCCACACAACCCTTTATAAACCTCACCCAGTTAGTCTCTCTCTCCCTCTCCCTCTCCCTCTCCCTCTCCCTCTCCCTCTCTCCATTGAGACAGCCTGGCAGCTCTTTCCCCAATAAATCCCTTCCTCCAGTTTAACAAAAAAAAAATTCCTCCCAGCTTTGTAACACAATGTCAAGCTCATGTCAATTTAGCACCTTTGCAAATAGGTACACTTCCAAAAGATAATTCCAGGCAAGTAAGGAACACTATAGTATGTTTATTTTTACTGCTATTATTAGTATTATTTTTATGGATTTTAATGCTTTTTATTTTTATAAAACTATCTTATTAGTCACAAACCTTGAACCAATTGCAGTATTAAGTATTTTTGCTTCTCTAGGGCCTCTATTAAAGAAAATGGAATAATTACTCAAAGTTTACCTGTATTTTTACTTTATAAATAAATACGCTGGTGTAGTTGCTCTGTCTGACTAATGAAAAGCAAATTCTATTCTCCCTCCATTCTTTTAAGCTTGACCTGTATTTCTGAACTGTGAGAAAGAAAAAGCCCAGGATCACTGTAAAGATGCTTTTAACAAGCATGCCCTCCCGCAAGGGGATTTCCTCCTCCAGACAAACTGTGATGGTATCTAGTAAATCTGCCTTTACAACGATTATATGAGTTCCATTTCATTTTATTTCTCTCCTCATACATAACATGCAGGATAATAGATGATCCAGTACTCAAATACCACGGAGAGATCTAAAAGAGAATGCATCTGTCAAGGGCCACAGTAGACTCCGCCAACTGCTAGTACTGCTAGATTGTGACCACACTCCATTTTTCATCACCATTCCGCTTAATTTACCACAAGTGTCATTGTCCCAGCGCTGTCAGCTTGGAAAGATGATGCCCTTGTTGAGTGGGCCTCATGGGTACTGACTGTGGAGAGGCACTGGTGGTAAGGAGAGGGCCATCATTCATAATTTCCCACTCTACTTAGTTGAGGCAGGCAGATGACTTGGAGCCTGAGGAAAACAAGAATGTGAAGCTCAGCAGATGGAAAGTCAAATATCTTAGCAGCAACTGCTGCTGGCTCTGATTCTTCCAGCTCCCTACCTTTGGCGGAGAGACTTTGTGTCATTGCTGCTCAGAGTACAGATCTATGCTTTGCAGCATGGCAGCCCCTAGCTATATGTGGTTATGAAGCTCTTGAAATGTGCCTAGTCCAAATGGAGATGTGTTGAGTATATGAAACATGGACTATTTTAAGATTTAGTGCAATAATAAAGAAAGGAGAGCACAATAATTTTCATGTGCACCTCAAGTTGAAATGGTCATATATTGGATTAAATTATATATAACATATATTTTTATATAATACATATTTATATAAAATATAAATGCTTATAAAATTAAATTGTATATATAACATCAAAATTAATTTCACCTAGTAGCTTTTTACTTTTTAATATGACTACTGGCTAAAATTACACATGTGGCCTGCATCATTTTTCTGCTGGACCTAAAAGCTCTTGAGTCTGAATATCACTTAATCCCACCTCTTCCTTTTACAAAGAGAAAACCAAGAATGGATTAGACAAGCAGCTTAACTATATTCCTGTAGCCAGTGCATGACAGCGCTAAGATGTGTTACTACATCTCCAATTTCTAGACTGGACCCCCTTTATCCCATATCATCTCAGGAGTACCACAGAATGCTAAGAGTAAGGAGATCTGGGTATTGTTTCATGGTTTCAGTTTCGGTCTCTAACTCACTAGCAACACATTGATAAATTTCCTATTTCTGTTTCTGTATTGTCAATGACTGGAAGCTTATCCTAAGTAGTTGGCTGGAAAGTTAAAGAAATAAAAAGACGCATTGGAAATCCTAAAGAACAAGTCAATATGAAGTCTAAACTCTAAGCGCATCAATATGGGAACAAGAACATCTCCCTGCATTTCAATTTTGATACCATCATCACTGCCATTTGGGTTTCTTAATGTCTTGGGGACTCAATTTCTGCACCTGTAATAGTAGCCACTTAATCAATGGTGCAGGAATTGAGTTAGGTAAACATACAAGACATGTTGGCTTTTGTTTTTTTAAATAGAAATGATATTACTCTACTTTTGTCATCAAAATTTCTGGGCATAAAACTCACAGAAAGAACTCTTAAAATATAAGCTTGGTGGAGATTTAGCTCAGTGGCACAGCTCCTGCCTCACAAGTACAAGGTCCTGAGTTTGACCCCTGGTACCAAAAAGAAAAAAATATAAGACCATGGGTGATTACTCAGTGGGTGGACTCAGGGACAGAAGAATGGCCCAATGTCTCCAAAAGAAAGGTCCATGACACAGTCTTGAACAACAGTAATGATACTATCTACTTTGCTGGATTGTCGAGAGAATTAAAAACCCTTTTACATTGCATTTTTACTCATTTTTCTGTTGCTCTAATGGAGTATCTGAGAATGGGTAATTTACCCGGGAATTTTAATTTATTTTGGCTTACGGTTCTGGAAGTCTAAGAGCAAGGCACTGGCTTGCTTGGCTTCTGATGAAGGCCTCGTATGCTGCTCCATGCGTGGTGAAACAGAAGGGAAAGAGGAGAGAATGCAAAGAGAAGAGGGGCCGGGGGACCAGAAGTTGATAACAATGTGCTTTTATGAACACTAAAGCCACTCTCTCAGGAAGCAGTGATCCCTTCACAGGGGTAGGCCACCCTTGATCCGAACACCTCTTAAAGACCTCACCACTCACCACTCGATACTATTACAATAGAACTAAGTTTCAACCTGACTTTTGGCCGTGACTGACCGCACCCAAGCCAAAGCATTGCTTGAAAATAAACGCTAGATTTCAATTTTTAAAAAAGACAAACTCTCTCTTATCCACTAGAAAATACATAATAACACCATTGAAATGCACTACTTAATTTAGAGTTGTCATGGTTTGGGTCCAGATGTCCCCCAAAGCTTCATGCAGTCATAGGTGGCTTTTTCAGAGGTGGCTGCAACTACAGCGTGTGATGCTGGGATTAAGAACATGTGATTACTAAACCAGTCTACTGCTTGCTTTGGCACTGCCCCAATCCCAGTAGTCTGGATAAGATAAAGGGCCCAGAAAGACACCGTTAAGGTCTCTTTTTGCTTTTGCTGTCTCTGCCCACCACGAACTGTCTCTCCCCTTGTGCCTCCCTGCCTTGGAGCCAGCCAATTATGAACTGAAACCTCAACAAACTGTGAGCTAAATACACCTTTCTCCTTTTAACTTTGGGGTGTTGGGTATTTTGTCTCAGCAATGAGAAAAGTAACTAAGACAAGACCTCTGGTTTTGTTTGATGGCTCTACCTGTCTTTCTTCCTTATCTTTCAACTGTAAACAAATCTCTACAGTGCCTGGTGGTTCCTCTGACTTCAGTCCTCCTCCCTTCCCTACACTGTTTACCCGATTTAATTCAATGTTCTATATCCCTGGCCTCTCTTCTTTCTACTCGGGATCTGATACCTCAAACCCCTGAACAGAGTCCACAGCACTTCACTCTGAAGTGGTTTTCAAAAGCTCAAGAAGACATCCAGAGGTGATGGCTATTCTCAGTCTCTGCTTTTGTGACTTTCTTATACACTCCCTTCTTCACGCAATTCTTGCATGTCTGTTACTTCTCTGTACACCTGTCATCTTGTCCCTCTTCTTGGTTCACTCCTCTCTTCTCCACCTCCACATTCCTTAAAGCCCAGCATTTTTGCCTTCATCCCACCTGTTTTACATTGGTGGCTGTATTCTCCTCATGGATTTGACCTCTCTGCTGTACACTTGCTGCAAATTTCCAGCTCTCCTTCACTCTTTCTTCCCTGCTTTATCACTTTATTTGGGGTACTCCCAAATAGTGGTCTTTCTTCACAAGCAACCCAAGACAAAACATCTTCTTCCTCCCACAAAATTTCTCTTAAATGCCTGGTTTTCATTCCAGCTAGTGAGTCTAATACTGTTTTTCAAGATTAAAAATTTTCCTTGCACTGTATTATAACAGTCTACATTTGAACCCACATTTTGTATTGTACTACTGGGTACTCAATCTTTACCAAGCTGCTAGGCCTTCCCATATCTCGGTTTTTTCATCTAGAAAAGAGTGCTGTAGCAGGATACAATAAGACAACAGGTTCAAAACACTTAGCATAATGCTTCCTCTGCCTTAGATAATTCCTTCTAAGTAAATCCCTACCCATTCATCAAGACTAATTGTCCATGGTGGTTCTCATTTCCCTGACAAGTAAAATATACTCATTCAATGTCAGGCAGTATTAGTATTATTATGACTTCCTATTTAACTTGTAGAATTAACTTGCAGATTCATTTTACATGTAGTATCTCGTCATGTCTTCTAGATTTCCCCCATGAAATGTTTCCTCTGTCTCTTCATACTCTTCCAGTTTTCATCCCTCCCATTCCACTAGGCTTTTATCATTTTATAATAAATCATAGTCGGAGATTCAGCTCAGTGGTTTGGCCACCTGCCTCGCAAGCGCAAGGACCTGAGTTCGATCCCCGGTACAAAAAAAAAAAATTCTAATATAATAAATCTGCATTCCGTTTCCAATAATGTCATCTTCTAGTCCTTTGCTCTGTTCATCTACCCTGTGAGACTAATTACCCTAAAGCCATACAATTTGAAAATCTTCTATGGTTTCACATTCCCTGTCTGCACTCAAAAAAGGTAGTAACACCTAGCTCTTCCATCATCTGACCTCAAATTACTTTTCTAGCACCATCTCTCATTATTACCCACAATGTCCTCCATTCGCCCCAGTGGCTTATTGTTCTTTGAAACAACTTTATGTTCCCACTGCAAGGCCCTTACTAACAACATTTTCTGCCTGAAGGAGAGTTGATGTTCTCCTGTACTTAAGCCTGAAGTTTCCCAATTTCTCTGATGCCTGCAATCTGTTCTTCATCTGAATCCACAGCAGTATCTACACTCTTGGTTGGTCATAAGTCATGCATCACCCTGGAGTATGTCTTGCAACTGCCATCTTGTAAGTAGGAAGTAGGCAGTAGACACTGTAAACAAGTTCATGTGCTCTAAGCCAAAGGTAAGGTTTGAACCTGTTTCCTGTCTTCTACTAACTGTATGACTGTGAACAAACCATACAATAGCTCTGATTGCTTCCTCGGTTTTAAAAAGGGGTTGATATTGCTAACTTCACAAATATTCTGTAAGATTAAATATAGCTATATCTGAGTGTATCCGTTATCAAGAAAGTAAAAATACAACTCACAGACAGAAAAATCATATATTTGACTAGGAAATATTATTCAAAAGACATAACTCTTACAACTTGCAATAAAAAGGCAAACAATCCAATTTAAAAATTGCAAAGTATTCAAATATATATCTCTCTAAAGTAGATATACAAATAACCAAAAGATGTTCATCATCATTAGTCTTTATGAAAATGCTGACTATACCTACAGTAAGGTTCCATTTAACATCCACTAGGATAGCTATCATTAAAAAGAAAATGAAGAAGAATAACAAGTGTTGACAAGTATCTACAGAAACTGGAACCTTCTCAAATTGCTGATGGCAATGTGAAATGGTATAACATCTATAGAAAACAATGGCTATCTCTCACAACATAAACAGTCACCATATGATCCAGTAATTTCATTCCTAAATATATACTCAGAAGAAGTAAAATGTATGTTCATACAAAATCTTGTATATGAGCATTCATAGCAGCACTATCCATAATGGTCAAAAACCAGAAACTATATAAATGTTCATCCACTGATGAATGGATAATTAGATGTAGTATATTCATACAATGGGATGATACTGAGGGAAAAAAAGAAATGAAATGCTGCTAATATATGCTACAACATGGCTGAGTCTTGAGGATAATATGTTAAGTGAAATAAGCCAACGACCAAGGACAAATACAAATATGATTCCATTCACATAAGGTACCTAGAGTAGTTAGACTCATAAAGACAAAAGAAGAATAATGGCTAAGAGGAGTTGGAAG